AAATGTTTTCACATAATGGAAAATTTGAAAACACTTGATATAAATAATCTAAGGAGAAAGACTTACTTAGATACTTTCTTTACCTTAGTAAATGAAGAAAATATCTTTCACACTTACTATAGACACACTTTGTAGATGATTTTCTATAATGACCATCTTGACCTGACACCAAATGTTTTCATACAAAGATAGAAAAACATTTATTCTTACTTTTTTTAAAAAAAAGGAGTGAATTTGAATGGAAACCCTGCAAGAAATATATTATCAAAGGTCTGAGGAAATTATGAGTTGGAAACTCAGAGGAGAGAAGCGGGACTTCATTTTAGTCTCTTCAGGCAAAGACCCCCCAGTTCCTGTGCAGCTGAAGTTGGAACCAGGGGCCATGTAACTCAAACATCATAAAAATCCCAGCACAGTTGTCTAGAATGTAAGAACTGATCCAGCAAAATGCAGATAAAACAAGGAAGCAACACACATGTCCTTATACAAATTCACACACAGGTTGTCAATGAGTCCCTCTCATTCTTATAAACTGAGTACCTTTTCATTTCTATTTTTAGATTTCTGGTAACCTCAGCTTTCCCATGTTTGTGATTTTGAAGAAACCTGGGCTAAATACAAAGTAAGAGGCCTAGGGTACGTGCAAATTGATGTTGCTTTAGATGTGCGGATACGGAGTTAAGGTGAATTCACAATCCAGAGTTAACACTTCAGGAAAACGAATCAGAAAATCTAGGTGTGGGAACCAAGTAACTAGGGGGCTCAGTGAAAAAGATAGAAATTCCTGTGTCATGTAGGGCTTGAAAATGGACATTAAAATTCTCTGTTCTATACACAATGCCAAAATATTTAGATACAATTTGAAAAAATTTGGAGCCATTAATTGTCTGGTACTGTAGAAAACAAAGATACCAATTGAACCTTTTTTCCTTCCCAGGGTATCTGGAGTGTTTGGGATTGGACAGATACAATCAAAGTTGCATTTTTTAAAAAGGTTTCTAACAATGAGGTTATATCTGTGTAGGAATGTTAAAAGATTATCTCACATTTTCATGAGTACCCCATTTCCACAAAGTGTGCAGTTCACGGTTTTTGTCTGCAAACTCGGGTACTTGGCCCAGAGATCACTCAGTTCATTTTTAGGGCTCCAAGACTCTTTAGAAGAATTGCCTTTCTAGAGGACTATGGTATGAGAGCAATGCATGTTAGAGCCATGAACTGTCTTGTGTTGGCTTCCCTAGGTGGTCTGCCCCTTTTTTGTTTGGTTTTGTTTTGTTTTTAGAGAAGCAACGTGATCTTGATTCATCTGAGATTTGTTTTGTTTTAAAATTTTTTAAAAAATTGTATGATACAAGGCAGACTTCAAGAACATTTCTGAGCATGAGAAATGATACCATTTGATATAATTTTATAAAGTGGCATTTTTGTATCACATATAATTTTTTAAAATCTAGAAACTATGTAGCCATGAATATCTTCAGGACAACAGTTAGATTTTTGTTTCTAATCTAATAACTGCCGATTTTTACTAAATTGTTTTCCAAACTATAAATCATCACAAATACTATAAATTATTTCTACATTTATTATTTTACATCTTCATATTTTGAGAATAATAGTATTTTATAGAATAGGATACACTATGAATATAGATTTTCTGTATCATGCTATAACATTTTTTTCCACATCACTATAATTTTGATCTTTATAAACTGTTCTTCCAAGTACAACCAGAGTCACCAGTGCTATAGATTCACTAACCATCAGAAGAATACCCTTTGGTTATGCCCAGGTGAAAATCAAAAGGCTTCCTTCAAGCAATACTGTGGTGTTTCTTTCAAATGGATCAATATCAATGGCATATAGTCAACTTGCTAGCATAGGTTGAACAGCAGCCTTGACAAATTCTATGCAAACCAAAGTTACTAAGTCTTTTAAACTACAATTTAGAATATATAGATGTTAAGACACATTTGTTATCAAGGGAAGTCATAAAATTTACTAATCATGGTATCATGAATTTGACTTTATACACTTTAGAAAGTGCTCTTTTGAATGAGGAACAACTCATGGACACTGGAGATCACATCATGCCATCTAGGATTTAGTTACTACCATGAGATTAAAACTGAATTAAAATGCTAAAGAGTTTTCAGGCTGACCTAAGGAGAAAGATGGAAGACAGGGGATCATCAACTACATTTTTAACCAAAAGTAGAAAGAGATGTTGGAGGAAAGGGAGTTACAAGCCCAGAAGAGAAAGAAAAATCATGCATAAGTAGGCTACGGTGTAGAAAAATGAATATCCTCAGACTTAGAGGATTTCACCCAAGTGTATGAGTCCATTTTGAAAGGTACTCCAAAAAAGCATCACTGCCAAGATAAACGTTGAGAGGAAGTGAGCAATAGTCAGTGCAATCCTAGACAAATGGTTGGACTGACAAGTCAAACACGATTAAGCACATCACAAAAGATCACATGCACAGAGTAAAGTAATACTTGGGGTTCCAGTCAGTAGTCATTTAGCAAAAGAAGCATCCATATTGGAATCTAATCAGATTCTACAGTGACCAAGTGAAGGGCATAATTTAAACATATAGAAAAAGTACTGCTTAAGAACTACACTCATAAGTAAATTCTCAGGACAGTTGAGAAGATGAGACCAAAAAGTTCTGAACAGTAAATACTACTCACGTTTTAGAGTTCTAATACAACATTCAGAGGAAACAGTTATTAATCAACAATCAATAATTACTCCTTATTCATGCACAGAACATCTGCACCCTATAAACAAGGAGATTACTTGCACACCTAACCTCTTTTCTCAATACAATGTCCATATTCTAAGTAAGCACCATGAAGAAAAAAACACAAACACATGTATACTCAGGAGCTTTCTTTGACTTTGTGTAAAAAGATCCATCACTCATTTCTTTGATGATGGATATTCTTACTCCCAAAATCTTAGCGTTAAAATTTATACTTAACACCCAATTCATTGTTGCTGGATCAGATATATAGGACCTATTTAAATGACCAAACATACGTATAATAGAGGCGAACACAGAGTAAAAATAATTTTTACAGAAGGCTAATAAAAATTCACTTTACAAAGCAAGGCAATCATCTTATAAAAACAAATGCTATAGAATTCATTTTAAAAGAACGCTTTGCCTATTTAAAATACATCCTTATTAACATATTTCAAAAGATTACACACCGTATTATTATCAGTTATTGACTGGTGTGGTGCTGTGGGCTAATGCGTCAGACTGCAAAGCCGTTTGAACTGCAAGTTTGGTAGTTTAAGATCACCAGCTGCTCCTTGGAAACCCTATACAGGGTCGCTATGGGTCAGAATCTACTCGACAGCACTTAACAACAACAACAAGTGACTCTTAAAGTTTTGTAGTTTCAATTAGCTTAAATAAAAAGGATACAGAAATCCTTCATGCTAAAATGTTTTTGAACTTTTTAAATGCTATACACAATTTTGAGAAATCCTGTTTTAATCGAAATGTGTTATCCTGTCCTTTGTCCTAAAATGAATATACTCATATTTCTCATGGAAATGGAGCAGAAGAGTAAAATTTGTTTTACTAAATGGAGTCATCATTGTTTTTAATTTTTTTTTAATTTTATTACTTTTTTTTTTTTTTTTTTACTTTTCTGGTTAAGACACTTTTTTAAGTGAGTTAAAGTTATGGCAGATCCTGTTATGGTTCACTGTGCTTCACTGTTTCGAATCAGTAATTAAATTATGACATTAATAAAAATCATGACTGCATCCATCAATCAAAAGAGTGTGCTCTCAGAGATCAAGAATCAAAGGCCAAAAAGTACTCTTTCTAGTTGGGTATGGCTGCCATGGATCCAACATTGACTCAATTAATGAAAAGGAAATTCACAAATACCATGTGAAGTATGGTTTCTAGCTGACCATGTACTCTACAGCTCCTTACAATTCAAGTCTCAGGGTCATGTGATGAGTCAAATATTTGTAACACTTCTGAAGAAGTCAATAGATATTCAAAAAAATCTATGGCATTGGACCTATTGCATAATACCAGTGATAAAACTAATTCATACAAACATTTTTTTTACCTTGCTAATACCATTTTTATTAAAGTATAAAATCTAATTAAAGTAATGCATGATTGAAATAACCTATAGAACCACATGTCAGAAGGACTTTTCAAACAGGACATACGTCCATGTCTGCCTCACAAAAAGACAGATTTCCATTATTGGCTTTTGGATTTAACTGTTACATATTCATTGCATCCTGTACAAAGGAGGAGAGAGAAAAAATTCTATCTTTTGCAGCTGCTTCTACTGAGCAACAAAAGTTGCTAGAGAAGTCATATATACACATATATGTAAAATTAGAGAAACAAGCTGCTTTATTGCCCAGATTTAAAATAAGCTCAATCAGTAGAAAAGAAAACTGTTATAATATACAGCTTGATGAGCAGCTGAAGACAAGAATACACTTACATGCAGTTTTAGAATTCAAGATATATCTAACATAACACTTTTGAATGAGATGAAGGACATTTCTCCTTATCATTATTCTTAACTGTTGAATAAAAACCAGTAGGATTAATGTGGGGGATATAACCTAGCATAAACAAATATGCAAAAATTCTTAGATATAATTATTTAAAGACAGAGAAAAGGTCTTGCTCCTTTTTAAAAATATTTTATGAAATTACATCATTTTATAAATTCTACTTACTCAGATTTTATCCTTAAAAGAAATAATTTTCATAAAAGACAACAATAAAATTTAACTTATAAGGAATAACTTATAAAGAATGCAAACATTATACTTTCGAAAGAAAACATATCCATCAACTGTATTACAAGGCAAAAATTAAAATGCAGTTTAATATAAAATTAAAAAGACGAAACCAAGAGGCTATTAACCAATGTTCCACAGGTCTAGGGAACAAAGGACATCAAAAGTAATAGACATATATATTTATAAAAGGTCTTACTCTTGACGGTTGCAGTCCGAGTACAGTTGTAAAGAATCGCCAATTCCCCAAACACTTTTCCTGGACCCATGGTGCACAGCTTCACACCTTCTTTTGTAACTTCAACTTTCCCATCTAAAATGAAGAGAAAATACAATATCTTAATTCTGCCACATGCACCATTTCAATTTTTGCAGTTTCAATGTGTGGTAAGATAAGGGTGTGTGTGTGTGTGTGTCATTTTTTTAACTACAAAAGTTATTAATTTAAACAAGGGTCTCACTCACTAAGATTCAGGGTTAAACAATGCAAGAAATACTAGAGAGCACATGAATGAAAATGTTTAACACACACACACCCATTCTTTCTTTGTCAGTGACAACATTTGAGAAGGAGCAAATGGAAGTAGCAGGTAAAGAAAGAAGTCATTCCAAGTACAAAAGTAGAAATCTATGATAGTTCCAATTATAAAATAACTTTGAATCTGAAAGAAAAACAGTATTTTTTTCTCTAGCATATGCCATATACTGGGAAATTCTCATTTGAGTAAGGTATCTATTATGAAAAGGGATATTACTTTGACCCTTGTGCATTACTGAATTGAAACTCATGGTATCTTTTTAGTTTTAAACATCTTATCTGACTTGGGCAAGACAACTTATCTGCTTCTCAGCTCTGCAACACTGACTGTAACAAAAACAAACCCCCACGTGTTGAGGGAAAAGAAAAAGGCACTAAGGCCATTTATATACACTGCTGGCTTCAAACGTGGAAAACAGCATCCTTGAGGGAAAAAAGAGAAATTCTTTTTTTTTTTTTTCCCCCAAAGTCATAGCTATGTAGATTAAAAATTCTATCACCTAGCACAACAGGGGGCAGAAATAAAATGTCAACAAAATCTGTTCTCTATTTAATCCTCTTCTTCTGTTATTTCTTCAAGTTACTTACGCACTGTCTGCAGACAAAAATCCTAATGCTTGGCAAAAGAATGAGCTAGTGATTGAAGCGCACTAACGAACGCCCAACAAGTATTTTCCAAACTTCAGGATTTCATGCATTAACTTCACAACTGCTCCTCATCTGTGTACTTCCTGTCACAGTCAAAATTTTAGAGCACTGATTTAAATTTATCATTTCCCTTAATCAACATTTTTGTCCTTTGTTGTTGCTGTTCATTCTTGTAGAGTAGGTTCCAATTCACAGAAACTTTATATACAGATTCCAATGAGTAGCTGGTGGGTTTGCACCACTGGCCTTGTAGTTAGCAGTTCAATGCTTATTTGACACCACCATCCTAAGTAATAATTATTGTAAAAAGCACACGTTTAATATGATGAATCTTTATTCAAACACTTACGGTGTGATGCTGTGGACTTTAAACCTAATTACTATAGATTTATTTCTTTAATGATACCATTTAGATGAAATCATTTTTAGGGTATAACAATGTCCCCTGAAGTGTGGATCATGTATTACTGGTATTGATAAAAATTTTTAAACTTAATATTTAATACTTTATTTCCATCCAAGTTGTTGCTGCTAAGTGTCATCAAATCAGTTCTGATTCATAGCGACCCTGTATAGGGTTTCCAAGGTGCAGCTGCTGACCACTCTAGAACTGTGTATGAACATCTCCATCTATGTGACATGAATGAACTAATCCAACAATTCAGAAGGTTTAGACATACTTGCTTATTTAGGTATGATCATATTCTAGCTCTCTTGTGGTTAATTGCTTGACTGTAAAAACGAAAACTTTTCCTCTTGAGAAGCACATCAAAACCAATCCAGGGGATCCAGCTTTTCATAAGCTTCAGCCATCCCTAACAGGATTTCCCCCTTTCTCTCAGTGGCAAGCCTTCTGCTCTGAACATTTCATCTGCCACTCAAGTATGATAAGACAGGCTCAGAATATAGCATGGTTGTTTAGAAATTTATAAACTATATAAAGGCAATCTAGGAGTTGAATCTGGTTCTCTTTTCTATTCCTCACTAGTCTTGTGAACTTAGGCAAGTTGCTTAACTTCTCTATACCTTTGATTCTTCACTGTTAAAATTAATAAAATAAAAGTCTCTCCTCCACTGGTAGCGTAGTGGTTATGAATTGGGCTGCGAAACTCAAGGTCAGCAGTTTGAAACTACCAGCTGTTGCACAGGAGAAAGATGAGGGTTTCTACTCCCATAAAGATTTACAGCCTTGGAAACCCTGTGCAGGGTCACTATGAGTCGGAACCGACTCCACAGTACTTAACAACAACAACAACTCCACTAGCGGACTCCTGCATCAGCAAGGGACTTCAAACCCCACAGCCGGCAGTTCAAATCTATCAGAAACCCTTTAAACAGGGCCGCCATGAGTCAGAACCAGTCTGATGGAGGTGATAGGGGCTCCCAAAAAGTAAATAGCAACAAATTTCCAATGTATTATAAAATGTTCTTGACTTAAAGCTTTAGTCAAATTGTGGGTGAAAGGCCTAGTGACCTACTTCCATAAAGATTACAGAGCGGAATACGCTGTGGAGCCATTTTACTCTGTAACACACGGGATCGCCATGAATCAGAAATGAAACAGTGGCATCAGGTTTTGTCAGTTTATAAGTTGTTGTTGTTAAGTGCGTTGAGTCGATTCCGACCCACAGCAACCCTGTGTAGGGTTTCCAAAGAGCAACTGGTGAGCTTGAACCACTGACCTTGACATTCAAAGGACTTTCGCTGTCTGACACATTAGCCCACAGCGCCACACCAGGACGCCTCAGTTAATATACTAAGAGTAAAATGAAAAGGTCTACAGTACTTCAATACACAACTGAGTTTGTAAAAGTCCTTTCCTCAGTTTCTGGTTGATCCATAATTAGAGGTCTTCAGTGGAACAACAACAACAAAAAATTATGTGAGTAAGACCACTGCTAATAATCCTGCTAGAGAGTTTGGGAGTTATGCATCTGCAAACAATGGCCAACTAAGTAAAAGACTAGAAGGACAATTAGGACTCTTATTTCAGCTTGCTAGTTTAAAAACTCAATCTGTGAATTCATTACATCAGAATCAACTAACAAAGTTCAGATATGGCCCTCTAGAAGAAATTGTATATGCCCCGTCCATCTCCACCATAATCCTATTAGCTTCTACTGCCACTCCCTCACCTGAAAACACAATTATATATGCAGATATAACCTATGTTTATCCATATTTAAAAACATATAACACTGATCTGTTTAACTTATATAACATCTTGTAACTGATGGTATTTTTCCTTTACTCATAAGAAGGCTAGAAGATTCAAAGCCAGATTTGTGTATAACCTTAAATAATTATGTAAACAGCAAAAAGATGAAGACTGCCTAAGTGCCGATCAGTGGGAGAATGGATAAACAAACCTTGGTATATGCACACAATGGAATATTATGCTACTTGAAGAATAAAAAGGAAGCTGCAAGCCACCACATAACATGGATGAACCTTGAGGACATTATGCTGAGTGAAATTAGTCACAAAAGGACAAATATTGCATAAAACCATTATTGTAAAAGCTTAAGAAAAGATACCCATACCAAAAGGAAACACACACACACACACACACACACAAATTATTTGTTCGTTACCAGGGAGAGGACGGTAAAACACAGGTTAGGGGAAAGACACATCTAGTTCAGGTGTAGGGGAGGGCAATATACAAGGAGGGCAATATACAAGGAAGGCAATAAAAGAAGGGGGAAGTGATGGAAGAACAAGGTAGATAGGGGAACACTTAGGTATATTTGCACAGGCTAATGGGACAGATGTAAATAGTGATGTATGCTCAACTTTGGAACAATAGGGCTCTGTGATACAGGGATTGAAGCATAGTCTGAATGGGTAAAAGAAGGTAAATAATGTTAAGTTGCTTAACTGTCTTATGGATATTGGTTTCCCTTGCCTATTATTGTAAAATAGACACTTGAGTGGGATAGAAAAGAATATCGAGAAACATGATTACAGATTACAGAAAGCTTGTAAGCCCAACTTCAGCCTATATGTGATTGGATATCTAAGGCGGGTTCTAGAACTTGCCCAGTGAAATAGGCTTTTTGTGGACCTTAGGTGGAATCCTGAGTCCGATTCAGGACCTTCTGAGGTGGGACAATCTCACTTAAAAGGACATGCAAACCAACCCAGAGCAGCTAGAGGAACAGAAGATACTTCCTGAACGAAAGACCAGCAGGAAAAAAGAAAGAAAGAAAAATGGCAGTCTGTTTGGCTATTACAAGAATAAGTTAAGCTGTTCACCAGGGAGCCATTAAGGCACGCAACCAAGTCCATTCGTGACAAACATCCCTCCAAGACTGAAACTCAAAGGAAACACATGAGCAGGAATGTAAGCTTTCTGGCAACTGTTGTTCTACATGTGAGTGGAAGTGGGGATAAAGCAGTAATGAAGACACGGGCTGAGGTTAACCACGTTCCATAGACTCCTGTCGACCTTGAGATGAGAAAGAGAAGAAGAAGGGCTGGTTGGTCCAAAGTTTGGGGAGATTTGGGAACTCCTGAACCCATGGACACTGACTTAGCTATGGAGGGCCAGATCTGAGAGTGAAGCATCCATCCAGCTAATATGAAGTGGTGGTGGTGGGGAGGCACAAGAACACTGAAACTTGCAGATAGTAC